TGCAGTTTGTTTTAAATTTTCCTTATTTTTCTGGACTATAGTAGAATGGCCTGAGTGTGGGGGCCCACGAGGATGCACCATGCCGAATGTGTAGAACTCCCAATACCCAGGCTGCTCCCATGTTCTGAAGAGGATGACCTTACAAGATACTGACTTTTATATATGCTCCAGAATTAATTGAACTGCTTCGGACATTTCTAACTGTGGTGGGGCTGATGTTTATTACTGTGCTAGGTGGGGATGTGAGGTAACTGGGACGGGCTCTTGGATCATGCACATGGCCCTCCCTATCCTTGTCTGGCAAATCTCGCCCCCCAGACTTGCCTCGAACCTCCTGCATGGCCAATGCTATTCTTACCAATATAATCCTGTTAAAATAACCTTTACAGAGGAGGGAAAAGGATAACTAACTGGGAGGTGGGTCTGCCATTAAAACAAAAAGGGGGAATCTGTGGGGCACACAGGCAGCAAAGATGGCCCTGAGAAGTTGAGTGGGCAAAGCCCAATTTGTTTATGTTCAGTGCTTAAACAGCTAGTGGAAGCTTAGGTGCATGGTAGGGTGTGACCTTTACCGTGATTCGTTGGTTCCATTTCCTCCCCTCCCACGCAGTCTTTTGCTTTAAAAAGGGCTTGCTGTGTGATAATAAATGAGTTCCTGCTTGACTTGACTCCCCTCCCCACTGCATCTGATTGTCTCCGGGGCTAAGGGAGGCTGGGGAACAGGCTAGTGGCACACTTACCTTTCCTCGATCCCACCATCTTGTGGGACAGATGAAGACCCGACAAAATAGGGTTACAGGTGGACCCATTGCAACAATGAGATGTACAAAATGTTATGTCGAAAAATGAACTTTACAACTTTGGTGGGGTGGGGCGGTGGAGGGGTGGTAGGGGGGTGTGGGGTGGGGGTATGGAGAGGGGAAGGGATGGTATGGGGAAACAAAGGAGGAAGCAACAATGCTTGATAAGAAATGCACTGACTATCTTGCCCATGTAATTGTAACCCCTCTGTATGGTATTTTCACAATACCAAAAAAAAAAGAAATGCAACAATGTAATTGAAAGTGAAAAACTAAAAGCATATTAATTCAAATAAAAGAAAATACTTGCTTGAAATTGTGACCAATAGGCAGGATCAACTGAAAGAGAGAAAATCAGGAATTGAAGACAAGGGGGATTAATTCGCATATTCACTGACAACACAGAAAAAAAAAGCAAATAGAAACAGATTAAATAGAGACAATTAGAAAATAGTTCTGAGCACTGTTAAAACTTCCAACAAGAAGGTTAGAGGAATCAAAAGGCCCAATTACAAGGTAAGTCAGATGGTACTGGCAAGATTGACAATTCTAGCTGCATACTAAACACACCTCTTCTACAAATTTTAAACCCAGGGTGGAGAATTCGGGAAATAGTGACTACTTTGATGTGGAAGGTTGACCTCTCTAAAAAAGTGTGTCATTGCTCATCTTTTTTCAGGGAATTATAACAAAGGGCAATCTGTTCAGATTGAGTTTGTTGCAGGCTTGAAAACAAATAGTCATAGCTCAGGGAATCTTGGAATAGCTTACAACAGTGTTTAAGTGAAATATGAACAGAAGAGTTGGTGGTGGACAGGGAGAAGGCCTGACATGGACCCACAGTGAAGTTTCAGTGGCTCAAGCAGTGAAGGGTGCAGTGGTCGGAAGCCCAAGCACTGAGCCCATGTCTGGCACAGTCAGTACTGAGAGAGAAGTCAGAGGGCTGAGTAGTGTAGAACTTACCTTCAAGTCTTCTGATGCACATAGAGTAATCAAATCTTTGTGATGACCAATGGAAAAACAGAAAAGAGATATATGAATAAAAGCCAAGAAAAGATTTTCACAAATAGCGGAAAGTGATCTGAGGCAAATCTACCAAGTCATTTGATTACAATCTTACCTTGTTGCCATCAGCTCATTCCTTAGGAAAAACTGTTTTTTTTTTAAAATTTAGAGTACTTGGTCTCAAAGATCTTTCATATCTTCGTAAGAGGAAAAGTTCATGTGGGTTCCTCATTTCAGCAGAAAGTAGCTGAGGCAGAGAAGAGACATGTATCTATCAAGGCAAGCTACTGAGCTTGTTTTATGCAAAATAAGTTGGTGTGAATCTTTTTTCATTGAGGGCTATGTGGGTCAGGCTACTTACTTCATTTTACTTAATTTGCTTACCAGGATCTGGGGTCACTCAAACTCTAAAGATTATAAATGCACACTTTTCTGACCTCTATATTAATTATTAACTAAGTGCATGATCATTTGAATGTCACTGATTAAGAACAAAAACAAGTATTGAGCCATAGTAAGCAGTTACAAAATTATTTGCAAACACAGTTGAACTGAATGCCTTCCTCAAGGGGAATGGTATAAGATGTAGGAAACGTGTGTTTTAGACTCAGCTCTGCAACAGGTTTTTATGTCTTTCATCAATGTCCTCAATATCTAGGAAGCAGTTTCTAACCCCTAAAAGGGAAACAATTTTACGGTAGAGAAAGAAAAATGAGAGAATTAAAATGGTTTTGATAGCCACATAAGATCTCAGAATCACTATATAGTAGTCTGAAAAAAGTGGCATGTAACTAGATTTTAACGAGTCTTAATTTTCCATACCAAGGAAGATAAGAGGCCAAGAACAGTGGCTCAGACCTGTAATCCCACCATAGTAGGCAATTGCCACTTACGAGGCAAAGATTCAGAGGACTGCAATTTGAGGCCAACTTAAGCAAATAGCAAAAGCCTGCCTCAACTAACAGGCCAGACATGGGTGTGTGTGTGCTTGTAGTTTTAGCTTTTGTGGAGGGATAGATAGGAAGATTATGGTTCAGCATAGCTTTAGTAAAAGGAAATATGACTCTTTTAAAAAGAAATAGCTAAATCAAGTATGGAGGTATGTCTAGACTATTATAGCATCTTGCACTAGTAAGTGCAAAGCCTTGAGTTCCAACCCCAATACCACCAAAATTACAATGTAAAACTACCTGCTGTAGCCAATTTAGAACAAATATGATATACTTACGAACTTACCCTTACTTAACCATTGTTTTCCTAACAAAACATGTTAATTTAGCAGTATTTGCATCTTTCAGTTTTGCATTCTATGGTTGTTTTTTCATGAGTTTAAACATCCTTATGACCAATGATGACTCGATGATGTCCACATAACTAAGTAATTATTGCTCTCGATACTGTCCCTTCTTTACTGTGTATTTCATTGGCATCAACGAGTTATAAAAGAGGATTTTTTCCATATAAATATTTTATAATAAAAATACTGTACAGAGAGGTTACAGTTGCATGAATAAGGTAATGAGTACATTTCCTATCAAGCATTGTTACCTCCTCTTTTGTTTTTCTCCTACCTTCCCTTTCCTCCCCACCTCAACTCCTCCCCCACCCCAAATTGTAAAGTTCATTTTCAACATAGTGTCTTGTACATCTCATTGTTACAATGGTTCGACCTGTATCCTTATTTCAGCATTTTGTTCTATCCCTTCCCCTCCTCAAATTATAAAAATGTATATACAAGATGCAGGGCACTGACATCCAATACAGTGAAATAGGGGTTATACCATGTGGGAAGAACATACAAAAGAAAAAAAGAGAATCACATAGTGCATTATAAGTATGTTAAAAACAATAGTAAGAAAAAAAACAAGAGGATTTTATACTGACATTTCCATTTATGCAAACTTTGTATCTTGTTTTATTTTCATTTCCTTAAAATGAGACCAAAATCAGCGTAACAGCTTTTATGGTTGGGAATAGAAAGTAGAGAAGCCATCATTTTTCCTACCTCCTGACTAAATCACATGACAAAGGCTTTCCCCTCAGCTATACTGAGCAAGTTTCAATGCTGCAGTGGTGGGAAGAGAATTCCAGGACTGTTCTTCAGGAAGCCATGGTGCATGGCAACGGCCATGAGACATCTCCCTGAAACCCTAGCTCTTCCACCTACGAGCCATGTGGCATCCACAGTTCTCCTGTACTCCTGATCATCCCTTACCTCACTAGAAAAGGAAAATACCAAGATTGTAGCCATTCATTTTTCTGTTATATAATAGTGAAGGAAATGCAACTTTTGGTGAGTACTCATTATATATTTGGTTTTTCAAAGGGCATGATGGATGCTAGGTATCTTACATTTAGTTAGAAACAAAACAATCAATAAGTCTATTAACTTGTGGAGGAGTCTTAGTAGCGAAGACACATCTGGAAGTGTTCAAATACATGTTTCATAAAACATACAGAATGTCCTCAAATCTATAATGGCCCAACTTATCACTAATCTGAGAATGGAGCAATGTACTTTTTTTTTAAAGGAAATCTTTTATTTATTTATTTACTTATTTATTTTTTGGGTTCGATCGTGGACCTGAACTCTAGGCCTGGGTGCTGTACCTCAGCTTTTCAGCTCAAGGCTAGCGCTCTACCACTTGAGCCACAGTGCCACTTCCGGCTTTTTTTTTCTGCTTATGTGGTGCTGAGGAATCGAACCCAGGGCCTCATGCATGCAAGACAAGCGCTCTACCACTGAGCCATCTTCCCAACCCCAAGAAATGTACTCGTTATCTGACTTATATAATTGTAACCCCTAGGTACATCTATCTTTACAATAACAATAATGAATTTTAAAAAGGAGAAACATTTTTGAGTAATGTTCTTATATATCAAATCATGACTTTAATATTTCTCAATCATGGCTGTATATTGAAAGCAGGTAGGTTTATATTTTATGTTAGCAATATTTGATTGCCAACAAGTTCAGTTAAACTACATTCTCCTATGTGCCTTCTGGAAACAGGGACATATGTGCAGGTCATTCACTTTTATCTCTATCATTGGGACAAAGTCTAATCAGAGGAGAGATGAAAGTACATCTACCTAATTACTAACACACAAAGAGGCACACCTACAGTCTCAGGGAGCATTATATAAGGTCTGCCCTGCAAGCTCACAGTACTCTCAGAAGAAGAGAAGGCCTCAATGGGTCCAGTAGTTGTCCTGGTGCTGGGTCTCTCCTGTCTGCTTCTCTTTTCAATATGGAGACAGAACTCTGGAAGAAAGAAGCTCCCTCCAGGTCCCACTCCTTTCCCAATTATTGGAAATATACTGCAGGTTGATATTAAAGACTTCACTAAGTCTTTAACCAAGGTAAGTACTCTTTATGTTTGCCCAATGGTCTCTGACAAAGATAAACCAAACCATATTTTAAATCTACTGCTGAAGGTACAATAGCATGATCGATTATTACTAACAAAAATTCTTGAATTATGTCGTATATAGCCGTGATTTTCCCAGTTTGTATTTCAATCATGGAACGGTATTAGGTAATTGGGTTATTGTCCATTATAATCTCAGTTGCAAAATTGCAAATGTTATAGATGGTTCACCCCATCTTAGTTTAACACCATGTTTATGATTGTTTTTTCTGAAAATTCATGATAAGGAAACTGTTATGATTAAATGGTCAATTCAAAAACTCTTGTAGCATTTTACACATGGTTTTTATGCAGAGTCATCATGGAAGTTAAGTTCTCTGAGAGGTGGTGGATGATTGAAAGGAAGTATCTGTGAGGATGAGAGAACATAAAGACATGAGACCATTTAGGGGAAGACTGAAGGGATCAGAGTCCACCTGGATTTTTGCATGAAACTTTTTTCTGGGGCAAAGAATGCTGCTGGGTGAGAAATTGTTTGGGAAGATGTTTATGTACTGGGGCAGCCTCTGTGGGGCCCACCCTCTGATTCTAATGCCAATCGATCCAAACTGCACTTGCCTGTAAAAGCACCTGTGTTGACTTAAAACTGCCAGTTTCTCTTGTTTGTCCCAGGAAGTAAGATTCTCAACAGTAAGAGTTTCAGAGATTATCTGAAAGTAATTATCTGGCTATTGATTTGGTGTGCAAAGGAGAATTAAACATATCTCAAGCCTGGAATGTCTAATAAGTAGAAGTTCAACTACAAGTCTTCCATTTATTATCCATGGGGCTCTAGAAGTGAATTTAGAATCCACAGACCTCTGTTTCTTTCTTTGTGAAACATGACAAGCCTGCTGGGTGTTTTCATGTGAGGATGATTTATAATGGTGTATCAACTGCCTGGTCCACTGCATGGCAGTGTAGGCCATCTCTAAATGACAGCTATAACAGACCTCCTTTATAATGTATGAACTTGGAAAATATTTGAAGTTGTGTTCACCAAAATAAAGAAGCATAAAAAATACAATGATGATATCAGTTTTGCTCAGGCTCAACCTGAGGAGCAAATAGTAACTTTTTTGCTACTATTTTTTTCTTCTGATTTTCCAGTTCTCAAAAGTCTATGGCCCTGTGTTCACTCTGTATTTGGGCATGAAGCCCACTGTGGTGTTGTATGGATATGAAGCAGTGAAGGAAGCTCTGATTGACCATGGGGAGGAGTTTTCTGGAAGAGGCCAGTTCCCATTGATTGATAAATTTACTAAAGGCCTTGGTAAGTGAACACATGCATGTGTGTGTGTGTGTGTGTGTGTGTGTGTGTATTTGTGTGTTGTGCAGAGGATGTGGTGATAAGAAGGATGGAAAATGAGGCCAGATGGGTTCTTTACTCAGAGCTTGGCCATCCCTTGGCTGGCGTATGTCTACTTCCTTTTCCTTGCTTGATTTCTCCATCCATGTTTCTTCTTCCTTTCATTTAGGAATTGTTTTCAGCAATGGACACACATGGAGAGAGATGAGGCGCTTCTCACTCATGACCTTGCGGAATTTGGGGGTGGGGAAGAGGAGTATTGAAGAGCGTGTTCAAGAGGAAGCCCGCTGCCTCGTGGAGGAGTTGAAGAAAACCAAGGGTGGGAGCTGCTTTATATCACTATTTTAGAGAGGCATATAAAAGCCTCCATTAAGTCCCTTCTGTTTAAGAAATGGATTCTTTTGTTTTCTAATCAGAAATCATGAATGTAAATTTCCTTTTTTGTTTTATGGCAGTAATTGGGGTTTGAACTCTGGGCTTTAAACTCTTGCCCAGATCATGGCTGGTGCTCTACCATTTGAGCTATACCTCCAGTTCAAGTTTTTTGCTGGTCAGTTACTATAAGTATAATAGATTTGCACAAATTTGGCCACGTGGGCTGGCTCCCAACAACAATCCTCAGATTTAAGCCTTGTGAGTAGCTGGGGTTCTGGTCACAAACACCAATAGTGTCTGGCTAAATCGATGTTTTGAGTTTCTTCTCTGAAGATTTAGGGAACAATGCTTCCCTCTTAGCATAATTCAGGGTAGCTAGTGTCATCATTACATGAGAGTACTTGCTAAAGGAACAGGGTGGTACTGACTCTATCAACCCTCAGAGACCCCCACATAGGTGCAACTATATTAGCACACTCATTTCCATTGACATTTCAGTGATTCCTCAGTGCCCATGCTTACAATTTTGGATAGTCATGGTGTGTTGTAAGATATAATTTTATTTGCTTTAGTGTATCAATATAATCCACATCTAAAATTAGTTACCTGGGAATATAGTGCAATTGCTACATATCAACATTAGTTATTTCTTCTTACCAAGTACTTCACAGTTTTTATTTACATATTTTGAGTAACTATGTGCTCTATAATGAATCTATAAAATTCACAATTGTATTAAATGATTCAATTAGTTAGCTTTCAACCATTACAATTAATTCTTTATCCAGTCTTAGTATATTCTGGCTCAGTTTTCAGTTTTGCCTATCACTTTTCTCCAAGTTTATCAGATTTTATGCTAAAAATCTCATGGTAATTACTCCCATAGCCAAGTCCACTCCCGTATTATCTGCTAGTCACAATGGATATGATTGTCTACTTAGATTCTAAATGAACTGGCTTTTTAAAGTTCATTCTTATAAATAAAGGACTGAAAATCAGACTTAACCTATAAATGACACACACATTCAGTCATAGAATATCTCAACAACTTCTCAGAAAACCAACTCCTTCATAATTAAATAAAATTTTTTCTGAGACCTTAGACACATTTCAATCTTTAAGTACATATGAAGCCAAGAAAAAAGACCATTCTATAATTCAAACGACCTACACCAACTTAGAATTTCCTATTTAAGGACTATGATTTAACTTAGTAGCACTTTACATATTGAGTATTTATGCATAGCAATTCCACTGTATAGAAGGTGCAAAAAATAATCCTTTATCTGTCTAATGATAGAACTTCAGAGAAAGACAACTTTTAAAAATATATAATATATTATTCATCCCAGAATTCCAAAAGTTTGGCTTTGTCCATAAATTAAATTTGGTGTTTGACTAGATTTAGTGTCTATTGATTTCCTAAGGAGGGGAAATTCACTTTTGAATATTGCAATGAAAAACAATTCTCCTATTTATTAATTTTATGTTTTTGTTTGTCTTACCTGAGATTTACATTTAAGAAAAGATTTAAATTTTGACATTGCTGTTTTCCCTCATACAACATGAATGCATTCTGCTTTTTACTTTGTTCCTTCTAGTATTAGAACTCTAGTAAAATCTATCTCTTCAGTTTCTCTCCATTGGCAATTGAAAAAAGCTAGATATCTGATATTCTTTCCCTTATTTTCTCAGTGCTATGAAGTCTATAGGCTTTGGAAACAGATATATTACTATTCTGAATGGTTGACTATTAGGTATATAAAAGTCTTCTTTATCCAAAATAGCATACAGCTGAGGTTGAAAGACTATAGGTAAAGGCAATTAGTATGAACGGACATTTGCTAGTTAGTTTGTACTGGCCAACTCAAGCTTCAGGTTAAAGATATGCAGGTTTAATTCAAATGGGATATTTGGCTATTAGAGGAATTTATAAGTAAAACAGTAATAAAATGGTAAAGATGACAAAGGCTAAGTACAGTATTTCATATGTATATTTCATTTGTTTCTGACTCTTCAGGCTCACCCTGTGACCCCACCTTTATCCTGGGCTGTGCTCCCTGCAATGTCATCTGCTCCATTGTTTTCCAGAATCGTTTTGATTATAAAGACCAGGACTTCCTGAACTTGATGAAGAAATTGAATGAGAATGTTGAGATTATGAGCTCACTATGGATACAGGTGAAGCCAAGATCTTTTATTCCTAAGAAGATACTTGTCTTTAAACAAACAAACAAAACAGACCCAAATTAAATAAAGAGCCACTAGTAAGATGAATACGTAGACCCAACAGACTTACCTAAAAAATGTTAGAGTGACATTCAAGAAGTTACTGCCTATGGTAATGTGTTCTGTTGTGTTCCCTATTCTGTTTTTGTAGTAGCTTCAAAGTTTCTGGTTTCATATCAAGATCCTTGATCAACTTTCAATTGATATTACTACAGGGCAATAGATAGGAGTCTAGTTCGTTTTCTGTATTTCCAAAAATGGAACAATGAAGTTTGTTGGAATTGGTTTGGGAAACAGGGAAGGAAAGGATGAAGGAGAGTAGCAGAGGAGGTAAGTCTCATCTAGATATATTGTATGGCTGGGCCCTGTTGGCTCATGTTTAAAATGCTAATTACTTATGAGACTGAGACCTGGAAGATAAAGGATTGAAGCCAGCCAGAGCAGAGCAGTCTGTTAGACTACATCTCCCAAACAGCCAGCAAAAAAAGGTCAGGGAATGTACTACACCACAGCACCAGCCATGAGCAGGCAAGGCAAGCAAGAGCCTAAGGCCCTGAGTTCAAACCCAGTACTGGCACCAAAAAGAAAGATGCATTTCATTTATATATGGACATGTCAAAATGAAAGCCTTTGACAGCTAACTGATGCTAATAGAAAAATATGAAGTAAACATCTGAGATAGATATCTAAGCCTATATTTTATGCCCACTAAAAATGCGCAACTATAAGATTGACTCAAGCTAATGAACTCAAGCAATTAATTTGTTATTTCTGATTAAATCCCATAGGGATTTTCCTCTAAAATGCTTTGTTCATTCCAAAAAGATGCCTAGTGGATCAGTGGATATCCAGGTCCTTAGTGAAAGCTTACATTTCCCAAAGGTTGGTCTTCCATTCAGATATTTCAGATTCATGCTATTACTGGGTAGAATTATTTTTTGTCACAGAGGAAGCATATTTGGGACAGCAGAAGCTACTAGGATTCATTAAGGAGAGTCAGAGTGTTTGCTGAATCCACTGTGATTCTAGATGATGAGGTAGCCTGATAGAAATGACAAAATTAAATATAGATAGTGTTAGGTTTTTAAAAAGAGGTTGCTGAGTAAGAACCACACCATGCACATGGTATTCAGGTAAGGAGTAGTTTATTCCTTATTCTGGCTGGTACCAGGCCATGTTGGCATTCTACAAGTGTAGGAAAAGACCTGGGAAAAGAGAGCGTCTGGCCCTGAGCTAGGCCTTCTCTAGGGTAGGGGCGGGGGGGGGGGGGGGGGGGGGCGGGGAAATTGGGGGGGGGAGAAGAGGGAGGTGTGGCCACCTCAAATCCAGATGACCTCTTCCAGGTGTGTCAGTTGTCTAGGTAACTGGGAAGGTACTGGGAAGAGATTTTGCTGCGAGGAGGGTGGAGTCTGCTCGCCATCCAGGAGCGGACCTTACAGATGATAGATAGATAGATAGATAGATAGATAGATAGATAGATAGATAGATAGATAGATAGATAGATAGATAGATAGATAGATAGATAGATAG